AAAAAAAAAAAAAAAAAAAAAAAAAAAAAAAAAAAAAAAATCGATTGTCTGTTGAATAGACAATAGACATTGAATATTAATATAGATTATAATCTAATAATATTTAAATTATCAAATATGAGTATGTTTATAAGGCTGTGAATTCACATGAATAGGGATATGGATATATTGAGACATAACATAAAATGAGGTTTTTCTGAAGGTCATGAATAAAAATATTTGAGACATACTGACTTAGAAGCTAGTATGGAATAGGCCAAGGTAACTGTTGGGTCAGGATACTACGAGAAAAGTGTGGCCAGGCTGACTGTGGGCTACTCCAGTTGTGTGTGTGTTTGATTTTGGACATAAAGCTTGAAAGCTTATGAGCCCACCCCTCCAAGAGAAGTCTAGGAAATTGGTGGGGAAATGAGTCTAAGATGGAAGAAAGCCGAGCAGGCCTAAATTTGGGGGTCAACAGCACATTAAGTGATGGCTGAAGCCTTGGGAACAGCTACCACCACCAGGAAAGAATGTATAGAGTATGAAGAGCAAAGGACAGAAGTGAGAGGAGCCAGGGTCACACCAGTGTATGGGAGTTCCAGCAAGAAGTAGGCATGGCCAGAAAGTTAGGAGAAAATGAGATTCCACAAAACCCAAGGAGGAGAGCTTCAGGAAGGTGGAGCCCAGTTGTTCAGATGCAGCACAGAAGCCAAAAAAGGTGAAGGCTAAAGACCTCATGGTTGGTGACCACGGTTTCAGTGAGAGCAATTTTGGGGAAACAATGGGCAGAAGTAGAGTGGTCATTTGTCCCAGTTTGCCCAGGACCGAGGGGCTTCTTGGAACTTTCAGTGCTAAAACTGAGATGCTCTCATGCAAACTGGGTGGTTAAGACCCCAAATAGGCAAGGTTTAAATAGTAGGTGAGGGCGCCTGGGTGGCTCAGCTGGTTAAGCTACTGACTTTGGCTCAGGTCATGATCTCGCAGTTTGTGAGTTCCAGCCCCGCATCAGGCTCTGTGCTGACAGCTCAGAGCCTGGAGCCTACTTCAGATTCTATGTCTCCCCCTTTCTCTATGCCTCCCCTGCTCACACTCTGTGTCTCTCTGTCTCTCAATAATAAATAAACATTTAAAAATAAATAAATGAATAAATAAATAAATAGTAGGTGAGGTGGAGGCAAAAAAACGTGGATTCTTTCCTTGAGAGACTCAACTCTAAAGAGAAGATAGATTAATATCTAGAAAAGAGTTTTTCACTTCTTTATTCTCCTTATTTCTTGTTTTTAATCCATACTAAAAGTTTATTTCTAGGATGAGAGGAACCAATGAGGGTGAAGCTAAAGATATAAAAGACTAAAGATAATTAATTGATGGAGAAACATCTTGTTCTCATGAGGTAGAAAGGGCAGGATGCTGAGCCTGGAGGGCAGGAGAAGTTCCTGCCTGCTGGAGAGAAACACTCCTGTGTGAAAGAGGGGATGAGAAATGGAGGGAGACTTACAACAGATGTTCTCCATCTTGTCAGGATGTGGGAGTGAGGAAAAGGGTAGGGCAGAGGCTTGAATGGAGATGAGCAATGGCTTGGGACAGCCACTTATAGGATGTAGGAAGACACTAAAACACATTCCAGGCACCAAGGCTGAGATGGGGAATCACGAATATGCAGCATACAGTGTAATTACTGTTACCAACTAGTTTAGAATCCCCAGCCTGTCCAAAGTCATACAACTACATATTATATTTCTGATCTTGAAAAATATCTACCATTGTACCTAAAAAGAAAACTCTACAAACAATTATGTGGCTAAACAAGAGACAAAAATACTTTCTAACACAGGCTGCAGTAGAAAATGACATGTGGGAGGAAGTAACAATACATTCAGCCCTTTGCGGAGTATTATTAATGGCTGCTACTTACAGCAGGTGGCATGGTCAGACACACACGTGCTCAGACTGGAAGGCAATGTGGGGAGAAAAGGAATTAGACATGGGGCAATCTGGAGGCTACATAGTGACCCAGCACACATTCTTGGCATCCTGGATAACAGAATGGTTTGAAACCTTGATATAATGCCAAGCCTGCTAAGGACTACCTCTCTCTTGGTGGGTATGCATATAGTCCCTAAGCCAAATCCCCACGATAACTCTTTGTGAAGATTGTTGTCCAATTCTGCCAACAGGAAGACTGTGTCTCAATACAGCTAAGTAACTGGTCCATGACTCTTAAATTAGCACAGATAAGATACAGCTAAGTTAATTGATTTACCCCCTCCCTTCAGCCTTTTCACCTGTAACAAATAACAAATACCTAAGTACAGGCCTTTGTAAAAATTAAATGAGGCCATGTCTGTGAAAGTGCCAGGCACCCCATAGACACTATATATTTGTCTAGCATAATAGTTCTCAACTGGCAGCCATCTTGTCCCTCAGGGGACATGGGGTAATGGAGATATTTTCTACTGTCGCTACTAGAGGAGTTATATAGTGAGTGGAGGCCAGGGATGCCGCTAAACATTCTACTATGCACAGAACAACCTGCACGGCAATGAATTATCTCCTGCAAAATGTCAATAGTGGTTGAGGTTGAGAAACCCTGCTGGTAGCATAACGTAGGGAACTGGGAGCCATAAAGACTAACAAAGCATAGCAGAGCCTTGCAAGTGGCGGCCAGGTCCTGGTGTTAGGACACTTACAGATCTGGATATTGGACTCATTGCTTGCTTTCAACAAGTTACTTAACCTGTCTGAGCCTCTCTTTTCAAATGGGGATAATAAGAGCACCTGTTCAGAAGCTCAGTGCTGACACATGGAAACACAGTGTTGGTATTATCGTTATTAATGAAAGGCATGGCAAAATACTGGGAGTCAGATAGCCTGTTTCACTGAACTGGGTAAGAAGAAAGAAGAAATTAAGAAAGAAACATTGCAGTGACTACTATAGCCTTAGTCAGTGTCATGGGGTTAATGTTTTCCTATTATGCTATTCTGTCCTGGATTGTACTCATAGTACAGTAGTTTAGATAAATTAAATGACAGTTGGAATATTACTCTGCTTACACAATGGAATTAATCCCTTTTTATCACTTTGAAAGAAATCCAGCGGACAAGCTCTCTTGGTCAAGCTCTCTTGGAAAAGCTCTCTTCGTCATTAACAAGACTCATTGCTGTATTTCCTGTGGTGCTATCTAAAGAAAGATTTTAATCATAATAAAGAGACTTAGTAACAGCATTTAAAGTAGTCTGCCATGGCTTGATACCCATTTGTTTCTTGACAAATTCCTTTCTGAAAGTATCACAGCACTTTTGATTTGTACAAACATTAATCTGGATTTTAACATCTTTCGCAGTAACACTGGGGTTTCTACTTTCTCACATGTAGATATTCCTAGCATCTATCTTGGCTGCCTGGAACTGAGGCAGCTCTCTTTGCAATGTCATTAATCAGTAAATGACATCTCCTTACACTTCCTGAGTGTTGGTCTTCATGCATTTTCATGGCAGGTCTGCAGAACTAAAGGGCTCCCTCTTTTCTGTCCAGCTGCTTATTCCCCACCCAGTCTTTCGTCCTTTGCCCCTCAAAGAGGCATTACCATCCTGGTAATGCCATGTGTCCTCTCTGCCACATCATGGCTGCTTAAAACATTCATCTGACTTTCCCCTAAATCTCAGTTAACAGATCTGACTCTTTGGGGTCCCTTCAGATTCCAATCATCAAATCTGCTATTCAGGGAATAGAGACTCCTTTGGAAACATCACACCCTCACCATTCGGTTCCACGGAGGGATGTGAGGAGTACAGGAAAAAAGGAAGCACAGGGAGGTAGAAACCAACCTAGGCGGGTGGGCTGGGCAATGAAACAGGAGGAGAAAGGATAGAGAGCATGTACAGCTTGTAAGGGAAAGGGCAATCACCAGGCAGAGGCCAAAAAAGAACATGGGACTCACAATCCTAATGGCTTCCATATGTATAAACCATGAATATATGTATATAAAATACGTATACCTGCAGAACCAATCAAGTAGCCCCAAGGAGTTTTATGTATTTCCCCTCTGCACTACCCACCAAGCTATGAAGAAGTGGTCAGTGAAGGCATATTATCCCCTTCCTCTCAGATAAGGAAACTTAAATAAGGTGCCTAGTGCCATCCTCGCAAAGTGGCTGAAGAAAGGGAAAGGGAGAGAAATTGACCCCCAGTTTTGCCAAATTTAAGCCTCCTACGTCAGAGATTTTCGTGAAAAGCTGACAGAAATATATATGTATGTATATATATATGTATATATATATATACACACACACATACGTATGTGTGTGTGTGTGTGTGTGTATTTCTATTTATACATCTCGAAAGAGAGCAACAAGAGACCAGAGAAAGAGAAGGAAGGGAAGCAACGGCACCGTTAAGAGTGGAAAAGAAATGGAAGAGGAAGGGAGCAGAAAACACTGAGGGCAGAGAGGAGTCCCACACCCAGGCGGTCAGCAGTGGGCCACTGGCCTCCTGTCTTCAATAACACTCTCACCTAGCAAGGCCAAGAGACCGTAATGAGAACCATCCTCTAAGAAAACACCCAAATCAATAACATATCTTCGCTCCATTCTTTTCAATATAGGCTTTAATTCATAATGCACTCAAAGGAGAAGGAAAGGGAGGGACCAGCGCACCGCTTGGAAGGCGCAAGTACACTACACACACTGACCTTTTGCTGAAAAGTTGCAGAAGGGCTGCAGGGGCCACCGCTTGCCCCTTCCGCCAGCCCCACCCCAGTCCCCAAAGCCCGTCTGGTCTGGTCTGGTCCAGTAAGAACCTACCAACGTTTTTTGTTTCTGTTTAAACACTTGAGGCTGTGATTAAAACCACCCCCAACTCCTCTTCAATTCTTTTTCGTAAGTTTCTTTTATTAAGTGAATATTTTTAAATCGTTTCATCTCCACGTGCACTTTCCCACCGTTCTTAAGCTTAGGAGAGACCCAGAGGCGGGGCCTCCCCACAGCGGTCTCCAAGGGGAGGCTACGGTACCCCTCCATCAGTCCCGGTGCGCCCCCTCCTCCCCGGGCGCCCCTTCCCAAACCCCGTCCGGTCTCCAGAGGCTGGAGTAAGCCGTGCGGCTGTAGCCGGCGCTATAATCGTAGGACACCTGGTGCGGCGGCGGTGGCGCGGGCAGGGCACAGTCTGAGAAGAAGGGGGCGAAAGACGCCAAAAGGCCGGGCCCGTCCTCCGCTCCCGGAGAGTCCGCGGCGGAGGGGTACAGGGGGCGCAAGGGCTCGTTCAAGGTCAAGCCGCCGCGGGGGGCAGCCAGGGGCGGCTTCTTGGTTTGGGGGCAGCCCGGGGCGCTCCAGGACTCGGAGTACAGTAGGCTCCCCACCATCGCAGGTGGCGGCTCAAAAAGACCGGGCTCCAACTCCGGGGGGCCCCGCAGGACGGCGGCTCCCGTAGGGAACACATCGAGAGGCTCTGCGGCGAGCAAGACGCTCGCCTCGGTGCCGGCGCCGTAGTCGGGCCCCAGCAGCTCGAAGAACTCCAGGGCCTCGGCGCCCTTCTCCAAGTCGCCCAGGCTCACGCCGGGCCCCGACGGGCCGCAGCCGCCGCCGCCCGCCCGGGACGGCTCGGTGAAGAAGGACGGGGGCAGGTTGCGGGCCCGCAGCGGGACCTTCCTGGCGCCGGGGACCGCCGTACCTCCCGCGGTGCCGGCCGCCTCCCCTCCCGAGCCCCCGGCGCCCGCTCCGCCGAGCCCGGCGGCGGGCGCAGCCAGCGAACCCCCGGCCCGCTCGGTGTCCCCAGGGACGTGGCGCAGCGAGTCGAAGAGCGCGGCCAGGCTCCGGCTCTGTAGGCTGGCGGCCGCCGCGGCCTGCGATGCCTCCCGCCGGGGGACAGCCTTGCCGTGGGGCGGGACCGCGACGGCCTGGGCACTGGGGGCGGCGAGCGGCCGTTTGGCGGGCGTGTCGGCGGCGCCCGGAGAGGGCGGGCCGGGGGGCGCGGCGCCCATCAGGCCGCTGCAGCGCTTGATCTGCTTCTGCAGGTACTTGCGGTGGTTCACCTTCCGCTTCGACTTGCCTGGCTTGTCCAGTGCCAGCTTGATGTTGCTGGACGCCGAGTCGATGAAGCTGAGCAGGTCGCGGGTGGCCTCGCGCATGTCCCCGCCCTCGTTGCCCGCCAGCAGCTCGCCCGCTGGCGTCCCGGTCTCATCATCCTCGAAACAGCAGCCCTTGTCCAGGGCTCCGAAGGCGCCCCCCAGCCCGTCCGGGGAGCCCCCGAAGCCGAAGGGGACGAAGGGGTGCGTGCTAAGGAGGGCCGCCTGCACCGCCATCGCCGCGACTCCCAGGAGACCCGCAGCGCGGCGGGTGCGTCCCCGGCCGGTTCCCGCCCGCGACCCAGGCCCGGCTCCCGCCCTCGCGCGGCGCGCGCGGCGCAGCCTCCTCGCTCCAGGCCCGGCTCGCGGCTCGGCCTTGCGGGGGAGCTCATTAGGTCTTGTAAGCAAGGGGCGGAGGGAGGGAGAGCGCGGCTACCGCCCCGGTGGTGGAGGGGAGGGGCTTACTTAGCCTGGGTGGTGGGGCGAGGGGAGCCGTTTTTCTAGCTTTCTGGGCTTTCTCAAGCTCGTCACTTTAACCCCTTCGTTTCCCTTCGCTCTGGGGCGCTTTTCTGGCCTAGCTGCAGCTGCATGAGGCGAGGATTAGATGGCCCGTCCACAAATTCTACCTCCTCTACAACCACGCCCTGGCGCGTGAGACTCTCTGTCAGGTCGAGAAGGCAAGAGTCCAGAGAAGTGTTTCAGCCCAGCTTTGGTAACAATAATAGCCACCAGCTACTGGGCGCTCGCTTATTCCAGGCGCTATCCGTACATTATCTCATTGAATCTGTGAGCAGTATCCCTGTGAAGTGCATATTGTAACCATATATTCATCTAACAAATGAAAAAACAGCCTCAGAGAGGTTCGTTGAGTTGGCCGCGTAAGCTATATCCCCTCCAGTTCAACACCAAAGCCATTCCTAAGTTCTTGACAGAACTTGTGCTCCCTCTTGGCCTCCTCTTCTTCATCTATAAGATGGGAAAAGGAAACCAGGGTCTCTTTAAGATGTAGCCCTAGTCCTAAGACTCTAACTGGAATGTCTGTAGGACTCTTAAGACCAATGCTCTTTCTTCTACCCTATTTCTATTATACCCTTGTTTCTATTAAAAGTAACAACTAGCTTATAGTAAATTGAGGCAAGCGCTTGGTCCATCTTTTAGTATTGTAGATAGACAGCAGGAGGCAAAGGAGAAAGGAGTTGCTCCACTAAGCCAGCAGGTGCTTGAGAGAGAACCCTGTGTGTGTATAAAACTCTCAGCACCTTAGGACAAAATCTGGATCAGAACCTCTCCCCTACTTGTCATGCCATTTAAGTTGTCCAGCTGGAACTTCTGTTCAGGATCACTCTGAAGTTCACTTCGACCCAGTTTCACCTGGGCAATCCTCTTCAGATGGAGAAAATGAGCAATATGGTAGAGCATAGAAGATTCAGAAAAGACTGGTCTTTCCCCCATTCTGTCTTAGCTCCACCACTCAATAGCTCTGGGGTTTGGGTTAAAATCCAGATTCTGATGAGTACATGGCTTTGGTCAAACCAGCTAACCTCTTTCTGTCTTTTATTCACATTAAATGGAGGTAAGGTTGCCCACCTCATGGGTGCCTGTCATATTTAAAGGAAACATCCTGTGGAAAATCCTTATTTGTTGACTCTTGCATAGCCTGTGATGGGTATTTGCCCTTTTCTAACACGCTACAAAGGTGACTATATTCCCTTATGTGTCTTTTCTGTCACAGGGTGTTCGTGAGGATTCAATGAGATCACATATATGAAGACATCATGATAGAAAAGACACATAAGATGTGTGATAAAGAGTTCTCTAAGTAAGTTATGATAATTTAGGTGCAGAGTCTGCCCCAGGGAAATGCAGACCATCTCTTATAAAACTCTTTTCTTTGAGGGGCACCTGCATGGCTCAGTTGGTTGAGCATCTTGATTTCAGCTCAGGTCACGATCCCAGGGTCCTGGGCCCTGCATCAGCCTCCCTGAGCACGGAGCCTGCTTGGGATTCTCTCTCTTTCAATCCCTCTGCCCTTCCCCCACTCACATGTGTGTGCTCTCTCTCTCTCTCTCTAAAATAAAAAAAAATTAAAAAATTATTTTCTTTAAGCCTCCATTTTCCAGGATGTAGCAAAATTTTTGAGCACCCTGAAGGTACAGACTTAGCAAAGAAGAGAAGCCAGAGAGCATTCCCATTGAAGTAGACACTATCCAAGCCAACATGGCTCAATCAAACTTTTTATTTTTTTAATTAAGGTGGCTCAGTTATAATATTCCTTTTATTAGAGTAACACAGGATTTTGTTCTTCATGATCGGGCTGTTTTACTCTTGGTGACATTTGCAGTAAGAAAATTGTTTGAGCCTGTTACCGATTTGTGTTTTTCACCTGTCAGATGTGGCTGTCAGCACTTACCTCCTCCTTTCTGACATGACCATTCCATAGGCCTTCAGGTCTGACAGCTAAGAACATCTTATTTTCACCTTCTTTTAACTGAGCAACTCTTACAAATCCCCAGACACAGATTGCATATGGCTTTACATTTAATTGATATCTTTAGTCTGAAAAATCTCTTGTAATCTGCAGAGAGTTAACTAAGCCCTAACGTAATCATATTCAAAATAAATGGAATGTGAAAAGTTTCATATGTAAAATCCCTTCACTTCCTTATCTTTGGAGTTTTAAGCTCAGAGATTGTTTGGAGTTAATAAGGCCGGGTTCAAATTCTGGCCTGCCACTTGCTAGGTGAATGTCCTTGGACAAGTCAGTTCATCTTCTAAGGCTCAGTTTCCTTATCTGAAAATTGGGATGGTCATAACTGTTCTCAGAGTATTTGTGAGAATTACACGACATAGCAGGCAAATAATACCTCTGAGTCTTACTTTTTTCTCTCTGTACAACAGAGATCATCTCAACTCCTCAAGATTTTTGTGAGTTGGGGCATATGAAGGCTCCTGGCATGAAACAGCAGCTCCACAAATTTCCATGTTCTTGATTCCTTAGGTCTCACCAGTTTCTTAACAACACATCACTCTATAAAATCAGCATCGTTTGTTCTTTCCCCCAACAAAGTGATTATTTTCAAATGCAAGAGAGCAGCTATACTTGCCGGCTATAGAAACTTATAATGTAGCAGAGGAAGAGCTGAAATTAGAGCCTGAGATTGGAGTCCAATCTTGCCTTTTATTATCCAACTGGTTATATAAAAGTCACTTAACCATCTGAACCCCCAATATTCCCATGTATAAAATGGGAATAATAATGTGAGCCAATTTGATAAGGCTATTGTGAAAATCCATGTGAGCAAGAGGAAGTTCTTTGTCAACATAAAGCTATATAAAGACATATAAGATACTCATGGCTTGGAAGTTCTATAGCCTGATTCACAAAATTGATCCTTAGACATAAAATATCCATCCAGTCACTTATTCATTCAGATATTATTGACACCAACAATGTTGGTATTAGTACTGGGGAATACAGATACCAGAAGCCATGATCTCTACCCTTTCTGATGGAAAGACATGCAAACAAGTCATTGTAATATAATGTAATACATGTCTCAATGGAAGTAAGTTAAAGGTGTAATAGTTGATGGGATCAAAGGACCCACCAGTCGGCTCAGAAAAGTCAGGGAAGCCTGCATAGACAGGTAGCATTTGAGCTAAGACTTAAATGATGCATTTGAGCATACCGAGAAAACAAGCAATATCTCTGGGAACAGCCCGAACAGAGACATGGTTATGTGAAAGTAAGGGTGTTTATGGAAAACTATAGAAAATAAGGCAATAAAGAATAACTTCTACTTGAAATAACTAACACCTGAAGCCAAAATAAATCCTTAGAGTTTCCAATATCCAACTAAATTGCTCATGTAGACCCTACCTCATGGTCTCAGTTTCTTTCCCCCTTGATCTACTTTCCTTTGGGGAAGAGCTCTATCTGGGATGAAATTAGTTTCAGCAGTCAGTGGCCAGATCCTGCCAAGCCCATCAGCCCCTCCTCCTACACCCTGAGTGAGCACACTCACTTGAATGGCTTTGACATCAATACACTTCACTTCCTATGGGGCAAAGGGATCCAGCTCCAGCCTGCGCAAGGGCCTCTCTGCAGAGCTCCAGACTAGAGCTCTTTTGCCCTAGTGATACCTAATGCTAAGCAAGTGGGATTAGTCTCCTTGGGAACCAAGCCCCCCAGGGGCTCAAGGGCTGAACTGCCCCAAACAGTTTGGGAGAATTGAGATTTCATATTGTTCTTTTACACTTGGATTTCAGGACATTACTTAAACAAAAGCCCACCTGAGAGCTGCCTCCTTTCTTGTGGGTAAATATAGCAGCAGGATCAAGAGCTGACTTACTTATTTTGTTTTCCTCTTTGTAACTTTAATCATACTCCCTGCAGGATGATCTTAGTCCTCAGAGATGTCAGGAATGCACATTCGTAAAGGGAAAAATAATTATGCATCTTTTCTCCCCTCCCCCATACCAATTTCTCATAGCTATTTTTGAAACCTCAAATAAAATAAATCAATTCCTCAATTTCACCACACAATTTATTATCATTTTCATCATGAAATAACATTACCTCACAAATTGAACATGCCCAAAAACATATCTCTTGGTTTGTTTTTGGTTTTTTTTGTCATCCTTTCCTCCTGCAAACCACATTCTACTAACACCAGATCTTAATTTCCATCTTAAAATATTAGATGTTATTCTGTTTGTCTATAGTTGTGTAGCAAACTACTCCAAAACTGAGTAGCTAAAAACAAACATTTTATTATATCTCACAGTATTATGGATTACTAATTGAGCAATGCTTGGCTGAGCCATCCTTCTGGTCCACTCCACATCGACTATAGCTGGTGTGGAGGATCCAAGATGGCATCATTCACATGACTGCACCTGTGCCTACAATGCTGGCCTCTCCAACATACTGGTCTAAGAGTACTCAGACTTCTTAGGCTCAGGTATCCCAGAGACAGTGCTGCAAGTGGCCTCATGTGGCACCTCCCAGGCTTCTTACAAACTAGCCCCAGAATTCCCAGAATGTCATTTTCACTACATCCTGTTGATCGAGCAAGTCACTAAGGCCAGATCAAATTCAAGGGGAGGGAAATTAGAATCCAACCCTCAATGGAAGAAATAGCAAAGAATTGTTTTGGTATGTCTCTTAAATCTCTGTTAATCTATATTGCCTCCACTTTCTGTTTTCTTTGCAATTGGTTTATTGAAGAAACTGG